TGAAGGTCTTAACGATCTGTTAGTACCGGAACTATTACCAGAGGTGTGTTGAGTTGGTTTTCTAACTACTCTATTGTTTTGACTACTGCATGTTATTTTTTGCAGCTTTCGCATGAATGTTCGTATTCAGTCATGGAAATTTTTTGGAAATCCTATGGGTTTTCCGGTTTTTTCTGCGTTCTATGCGGTTAGGTTGGCGATTCGAAATTCTAAAGTGTCCTCGTTGTCTTATCTGAAATCGTCTATCCCAAATAAGATTGAATGCTTCATGGTGGTACCTGATTTCAGGTTCACGATAATGTCGGTTATTTGTGGAGTGAACTGGTTCGATTGCTACGAGAAGTGCAATATACGGCCGAGGATAAGCGACGCGATGCGTTGATGGAGAGTTTGCAATCGGAACGAAACGTTCGAATTCTGATGTCGAGAATGTTACCGGACGATCCGGCAAGGCATTGTGACTCGGTGAAAATCAATGCTGCCTCCATACTCATAACACTGCTCGAGACAAATTTCGTGCCGAATTGGTGAGTAGTTGTACAGATTTATGCGTTTAGTTTTGAATTGTTATGCAATTTTATGCAACATAATGCAGTTGTCATGCATTTTTATGCAGTTTTATGCATTTTGAATCCAAAATATTTCTGTTTCTGTGATTGTCGTTGTGAATTCGGAATGGATTATATTGTTTGTGGTTTGTTTCAGTCCGAGTCATCAACTGGGAACCGAGGAACGGGGTGAGGCAGCCTCACAATGGATCGGTGGTCAACCCCAGCCAACAAGTGAAAATGAACTGAACGGTACGCTCGTATGGCAACCGGATGCCGGTCGCGTTGTTGAGACTATTGTGGCAGCATCTACGGATAAAATTATCAACGCAATCATTGATTCACTTCAGGTGTGGTGTTGTTTTTAATGTTTTGTTGTATTTGTGCGTAATTTTACGTATTTTTTTGGCACTGGCAAATAATAATGGATTGTGAAGTGGATAAAATGCAGTGTGCTAGTTCCAGATGGTATTGATAATGGTATCAGTAAGGATAGTTACACGATGATAGTGATAGTAACGGTGGTTGTATTAATAGTAATGACGAGAATAATTACCTGGATTACCCGGATTGACCAGGCTATCAAACGTCACTGGCCACAATGCTCGCGTTTCCGTGCACATTGCACACCGCAGTGACGAGATTAATGATGAATTTAATAATGATAGTAGCAAAGAAACAGCAGTGGCAGTGTTGGTGATATGATAGCGGTAAAAGTAATGATAATAAAAATACGGATGATATTAATGATAGTGATTAGTGATAATGATTGATGATAATGAACTGATAACGATTAATTGATAAGCAGCAATGTTAATGA